TATACGTCTTGTATCCGGTCTCATACCAAAACGAGACTCATCAGAAAAGCACACGAAACGCCATTGTTCTTCTGCCCAATTTCTGTGTTCAAGAGCCCATTGATATCGAATCCTACGATTGTGCATTGCTATAGGTGGTACCCGTAGCGGTCTTCGGGAATGAAGGTTCACTTCATGCAAGCGGTTTCTGACTGTTTGGTCGCTAATTAAGTTCCCTGAAGAGTGATGAAGCCTCACGGCTAACATCATGGCGGTTATTGTTGGAGCTCTTCGAGTTAAGATTTGAATGTATCGGTCTTGTCTCCGTGTGGTGCAGCGATACCGTCCTCCATGGCGCTCAGCCACGGTACCAGTGCTTCGGTATCGTGTCCAAAGTCGACTGATAACACTCTGACTTGTATTCAGAGCTAAAGCCACAGTACGTTGCCGGGAACCAGCTTCTATCATTCCCACGGCTCTGAGCATTTCTTCCCTGCATAAATGACGTCGCCGCTCCATAATAACGTTGGTTTTAATCAGTAGTAGGGAAACAGTAGCACTAATAATGTCTTCAATGCGTTGTATGTTTTTATAGGGAAAATATTGACAGCTGATTTTCATCTTTTACTCGAATTTGATTCACAGTTCCTGATTCAAATTATGAAATGCACCAAAAAGGATCCATATAAATTTATAAAATCATAAATTTATTACAAAGCCACATCTCAATCTCAAGAAATCCGCATAAAAATGCTTGATCCCTAGACACTTTTGATGTGTGTATATTTATGGAACTATTTTGAAATTTTCTTTTCATTTCTCATTCTCGGAAAGTGGTGTTGTTTTGATCTGTTTGTTGGGTGGAAAATGCTGCTTCCCTCCCTAGAGATGGAAAAACTCATACAAATTACTTCCCGCCTAAGGGCCGGAATGAACTTTAAAAATAGAACTACTGTCAGGTGTGAAGAGTTTTATGTAAAAAAAAAATATGATGCCATGTGAGTTTCTAAACAGTCAGTGTGAACTTAGCACAAACTTCTTTGAGCGGAATAAGCCGCAACAATTACGCTGTTCCATATTTAAATTTAAAAAGTCGATATAAATTGGCGGGATACTAAACTGTTAGGTATCTGTGGTGGAATAAAAAAAAATCTTATAAGTAAAACAGAGCAATCTAAATTTGATTATTAAAAATGAGTTTAAGCGATTCAGAAATGTTGACACCGGATTCAATTAAAGACGAGGCAAATTGTGTTATAGAGAATCTTTTGCCAGAAATGTCAAAAGAGGATATATGAGTACATACAATGATTTTATAAAGTGGCGAGCAGAGAAGAATATAAAATCGTTTTCCGAAAGTGTATTTCTTACATATTTTAATGGACTGTCTTCTTCACTTCTTCTTCAAACTTCCAGGGAGTATCCGCCATGGAATAGTATATCAAACAGCATAAACATTTCAAACAAGAATGTAATTTTAATTTCACTAATTGTCCTAATATGACAATTAATTTTAAATGGCTACTTCTAATTTTATTGTACCTATATATATATACCTGTAGTAACCGGGCTACCACACCGTACAAAGAAGAGTACCGATATAACAGTGCCTTTCTTAACCCTGACATTGGCAGAATCATCGTGCATAACGATGGAGCCATAATACCCAAAGTGGAAGTGGAAGTGGATATATATACCTATTTATGAATAAATATTTTTTATTAACAACTAGTTTTATTTTCCTCACATTCGAAATGAAAAGTAGAGTGTTTAACTCGGGTAAAAGAATCAATTCCTACTCGGACTATAGCCGCCCTCGCTGCGCTCGGGCGTCTAAATACCTCGGGAATTGATTCTTTCCACCCTCGGTTAACAATCTACTATTACGCGCTACTTACTCGTTTAATGTAACAGTGTGTACTTGGACAATTTGTTTTATTAGATATTTTCGTATGAGAGCTCCTGCTGAGTGGCAAATACCTTAAACAGCTCAATTTTCATATACTCAGTGCATTAAATAAAAAAAAATACCCACTGAAAGAGTACTATCACAAAATATTGAAGGCGATCATTGGGCCGTCAACTGAAACTGAGACAGAATAATATAGCTAATATTTCTTTAATAACCGCCATATTCGGGCAGCTGGAAGCAGTTGTGGACTGTTTAATGCTACGACTGCACAGTGAACTACAAAGTATCCTACGTACGCACATACACGGACCGTTCTAGCAGTTGCAACTGGCATATGGCAGCTTCAAACTATTGACTCTGACTGCTCGAGCAGTCCGTGTATGGCCACTCTTAAAGTGGTGCTTTTATTCATGGTTCTTATGCGGTTTAAGTGAAGTGAAATTTAAAATTTTATGAAATAAATACAGAGTGTCGTTTAATGAGTATTTTAACTAAATCAATTTCAGTTTTAAATTAGCATCTCGTCTCGACTTTTTACCCTCTTTTACTCTTTTTTCGTTCATTCACATTCAGCTAAATTAATCGAACTCGTATAGGTATTTTTGGCAATTGAATTTTGTAGTAAGTAATTATATTGAAGTACACCTACAAAGTTTATATTGTTATGAGTCACCTTCTTAATAAAGATTAACAATATAATGCACTGTCAGACAGCACCTATGTACCTACTGTTCTTATGTGTATACCTGCTTGGTAAATTTAATTAGCCATAATCATATTCAGTGACGTGCCAGCTTGACGTCGGATCAAAGGTAGCCGCGATCGAAAACGTTTACGATAGCATCTTAATCGGGGAACCCACACGTGGTCGCACAATAGCGTAACTCCAGTTTTTTCATTTACAAAAACACGAGACAATGACGCTATGTCATGTCAAGCCGCGGATCACTTGATTGATTCACGTCATATCGTGCAAGTAAAAATGGTTGATGTAAAAACGGATTAATCGGTCGCTATGGGCACGATACGAGTGCGCGATGACTAAGTCTCTGCTGCGATGGGCCTCTTGATTGGCGCTTTTTGCAGTTGCGAATTAAACCAGCCATGAGTTAACTCTTTCTGAAATTCTGTATATGGAGTGCACTATAAAAAGATGAGATATTAATTAAAACTCAACTAATCCAGTTAACGTTTACAAGGAAAAAACAAACTTTTATAAATGAGGCGCTGGCGAACAAAACGGTATAAATTACGCATCCGGTCAAAATACTTTTTCTACAGTCCGGAGGTTTTGGGTCCGCTGAATTTAAACCTCAGCTCATTTTCAGTCAAAACCGCCTAGAACGGTGTTAATATTTTATCCAAAGTTCATAGTTTCGAACATAACGGTATTATTACAATAATTTAACAGCATTGAGTAAGCGATAGTGTTTTCGTTCAAAACGAATTTGCAAGATGTCAATGGACAATAAAACGGATTAAGTGACAACCTTCTTTTGTTTTTTTTTATCAATTAGGCAACTCTAGCTTTTGTGTTTCTTAGTATAAATATCCTGCGTGATATGAAATTAGAGTAACCACAACAAGTTACCTCATACCATCTCCCTATCTAGTGTTAAGTGTAAGTGCAATCTAGTCGCAAAGATCGTCGATACGGTAGAAAATACTTATACTGTTTTAGTCGACCAAAGTTAGTGTCATTTCAGTTCTGTCACTTGATGGAACACTATTCAGAAATCCCATCTTTGTAGCGGTGCTGATGATTTTGCGAAAATTCTCTAAAAGTAGATATAAATGTAATTTAACAGCGGTTTCTTCTTATATCTTTTTATAGACTTCGATTGATAGATATAAAATAGAGCTCTAAACTACAAGTCTCTAAAGTCTCTCGGCTTTTGGTTAATATAAATAACACTATTTGTTATGATTTAATTTATTTTTAAGCATTTAACTGCTAGATGTTAACTCAGCTTAACGCTAGGAAAATTTCGACGCGGCTAATAGGGCCGTGGTAGCATAATGGTCAGTGCATTCGCCCGGATTGCGAAGGATGCGGATTCGAGTCCCGTCCGCTGCCTGGTCCGCGTGGATTTTTTCTAGTAAACTTTTCTTTAGATTTAAACACTATTTGTATTTATACTGTATAACACAGCAATCAAAATGCAAGTAAACAATTAATGTATATTCAATCATTATGTGAGGAGTTCGATGGCGCCAGTGGTTAGCGCGTTCGGCTGCGGTCGTTGAAGTTGAGCAAAATTAGCAGTGGTCGGTCATTGGATGGGTGTTGGGTGACCAAAAATTTACTATCTCGAGCTCCTCCGTGCTTCGGAAGGCACGTTAAGCCGTTGGTCCCGGCTGCATCTGTAGTCGTTAGCACCCACCAACTCGCACTGGGCCCGCGTGGTGGGTCATGGCCCAATCTCCCTAATCCATCCATAGGGAAGGCCTGTGCCCCAGCAGTGGGGACATTAATAGGCTGATGATGATGATGAATCATTATGTATTGAAAGGTGACTTCATGAATCATCACTGAAGTCAATTTTTAACTAGACCACTCTGTAAATAATAAAACAGCGAGAAGAAAACAGCCCTTGCTGAGTTTCTTGCCGGTTCTTCTCACAAGGTCTCCCGCCGTAGATTAAAGAACTGAAGTGTTTGTAACAGCCAGATTAATCATAATCAAAATCATTTATTCAGTTTAATAAATGAATTTTGATTATGTTTAGTCGTACACTGTTTATTTTTGCAGTCGTATCGTACGAGTATAATTCGGTTATCAAATAAAAGAGGAGTATTTTTTAATTCAAATTAAATGGTTATTCAAATAAATTCAAAGTACTAGGTCAAGGGCAATTAATTTGATAAGCTTGCCTGACATTTGTATAATACGAAAAACATTTTTTTTGCAAGAAATATTTTGATTCATTTTATTTAATATTATAATTTAACTAGATATTTTTAAAGGTGATGATTTAAATAAGATAAATCATAGCACAGGTTGAACCAACGCGATTCGTAAAGAAATTCATATCAGACCAACAAGAATGCACTTTAAACAATAGAAATCACAACTAAACGATTACATAATTATTTCTCTTCATTCCAGATCCGCAATGGGTACGCCCGAAGTGTTGGTTTTGGCGATAAGCATCGTAGGCACCATAGCCTTTATCCCCCATGGTTCTATTGGGGAAAAGGTGAGTGTTATTTTTTAGGTTTCAGCATCTCAATTCACAAATCGAAACCCTTAAATTATCTGCTGCTTTACAGCCTAAGAAATACTAGAAAAACATCGACACTGCCATAAGAGCCGCGGCATAATGGTCAGTGTATCCGCCCGGATAGCGGAGGGTGCGGGTTTGAGTCCCGTATGCTGTCTGGTCCGCGTGAATTTTTTTCTAGTAAAAAATTTTAACATCTGGCAGTTAAATGCTGAAAAAAATCAAAATATAACCATATAGGATCACTCAGTAGTCAGCCTGTCTGTCTGTATCTCTGTCACAGTCAATTTGCTCGTAATCCACTCGACCGATCAGGTTAAAATTTGGTACATTAATGTATGTATGTGACCCAAACACGTAAACATAATAAACATAACACATAAAGTAAATAAATAAATTCTGAATATGGGGGTTGCATTGGGGGGGTGAAGTAGAAAATTAAAAATTTAGCAAACTGACCCCTGTTGTATATCAAATGAAGGAGCTCTATATTCCTAAAATATTTTAAAGTAAAATGAATAGTTTAAAAAATATTTATCAAAACAGATGAAAATTCACCTACCGCTTCATTTACTTGAAACTACTATGTCTAAAATTTAAAAAAAATATATTATAGCTTTTTGCTTGTAGATTACAGGAAACCTTATAAAGAGTTTATAGTATGTTTGGTTTTTGTCCCTTCCACGTCCAATATAAATATATAATTTCTGCGAACGGAACCTTTTCCACGCGAGTTGATCTCGCACTTGATCGATTTTCTACAATATTATTGGAATGCCTAAAAAGATATTCCAACTTCAGGTCAGTAAGGTAATGGCTGGCCCACTTTCCTGCCGCATCAGCAGTTTTTGGATATAAACTCAGCTACTGACTTCTCTGATGGTACTGGGTACGAAATTCGAATCCCAGTAAAGACGTTTATTTATGAGATGAACACGTATAAGTACATATTATATATTGTTTTCAACTTTCATGGTCCCTAACATTATAGTTATTAGCGGGGTTGCTACCATATCGAAATCCTTTTTTGTAAGTCTCCTATATTTTGACACTGTTGCAAGCACCATGATCATGAAGTAACCGAAGTAATTGAGGGTAGATGTTATTGGAAAATATATCAGTCTACCCTCTGACGTAGTCTTTTATTGCGCTAGACACCCCTACTACTAGTCACATTCTCACTACTCAAGAAACATTCTAGTCACATTTTAACTACACAAAACAAGGTATTTTAACAAATAAATATTGTTCCCAAGTAATCGTTAAATTTTATTTCAGAAGATCCATAGGCCAAATCAATGTAAGATATAGTGAGGATGTGTTTGTTGTTAGATCCTGATTTCAAGGTGCGGATTGACTGATATGGTTTCTTACATAATAAAATTATATACGTATTCTATGCATTATTAATTTTGATATTTTTCACTTTTTTAAGCATTTAACTGCTAAATGTTTCATTCTCAAGACAAGTTTTATTATTTCGTTTTCCATTGTGCTGAACTTGTACAGATCTAAAGAAAAAATATAACTAGAAAAAAATCCACGCGGACCAGGCAGCAGACGGGGCTTGAACCCGCACCCTTCGCTATCCGGGCGAATGCACTGACCAATTATGCTATGCGGTATGCCCTGATGGCCGCGGCGAAATTCTTCTAGCCATTCTTAAGCTGCAATGCAGCGCCATCTCTTCGCATTGTAGGTAACCCATAATGTCAAATGAATACTTTTACAAGTATTAAACATTTGAAAGAAGAAATAGCAATTATAGTAATAATTTTTATTTTTTAAGCATGTAACTGCTTGATGTTTAAATGTAAAGAAAATATAACTATATATAAAAATACATACATATATATATATATATATATATATATATATATATATATATATATATATATATATATATAAATATAATTATATTTTCTTTAGATTTAAAAATCAGCAGTTAATTGCTTAAAAAATATAAATTGTACAGATCTACCTAGTTTGGAACTAGCTACTAGGTTAAATACATTAAATCTGTCTATCACGTCATGCTGACATAGTTTTATACTTAATTTATACTATGCAGCACTAAACAAGGCATTTGAACTTTAGGATCACATCCTAACCGAAGCTTTGCTTCGTGAGGTTGTGGAACGTATGGGCAAGGAGTTCAACGACGCAGCGTCCAGCTACCTGGATTTCCCGTCTAGTGACCGCCACCTTGCCCTAATGGCCCGGGCGAATAAGGACCTGGAGAACGAACAGCTGGACTACGACTCACTGATCGATGGAAACCCCAACCCCAGTCTGCGTGACCAGGAATATCTGCAGCACAGGTAACGTTGTGTTAGAGAGGTTTAAGTCTGCTAAATTCGATCAACTTGGTCATCATCATGTAATTAATCGAGGTAACTTACTCAAATGTTGAAAAAAAAGACGGGTTGCACTCTGGGAGTGCCGGCAAAAGCGAAAACTTAACTATTAACGTTGTGCATTTTTGATATTTTGGAATGGTTAGGGAATAATTTTGCGCGAATTGCTTTAAGTAACGGTATAAAAGTACTATCATTTATGTGATAGAATACAATATTTATTTATTGCGCTATCGTACACAAACATGACAATTTATATTACATTAAAAAAGTTTATCTCTCAGAAAAATCAACTTACATGAATCATATTTAAACGCACCTAGCGACATCTATTGTAAAAAAATGCATTTTTTCGCAATAAAGCTGCCATCTGGACGTCCTAATTAAAGACTTATTTTTATAATACGGCAAAATAAAATATTACTATGTTTCGTCCAATATATTGAAAGTCAACAACCTTTCTGATTTTATTGTTTTCGTCTTACGAATTTTCGATTAGGTCAAGAGTCCGGACGCGATCAGGCCACGTGTCATGACGCGATCAGGACACGTGTCCTGGCGCGAGTTTAACAGTTTTTACCCATTACAAAAAAGGGTACAACGCCGCTAAAAAGTTTTCACTTCAAAAACCACTTTTTTTTTCTTTGTTTTACCAACAATCTGACTCAGGGTAGAAACAGTAGCGCAAAGTTAGTAGGGCAAATGATAATTTGATCAAATGTTGTAAATTCAATTGGAGTTCCAAATTCACTGATAAACTGTGATCTAGCCTTTAGGCCGTTTGTTCATCGCCACCGTCACCGATTATAAGACAATTACAAGGCAGCAAGATTATTTCTATATGAGATGACGTAAACGTATGTGTCGCTACCTCGGCGCCGTCGTCTCGTTCTCGTTGACGTTCAGGTAACGGCCGCGGTGGACAAACGCCCTTAGAATTTGTGGCTATTTAATCAATCGGACTGTCATCACAGCTCCCTCTGGGGCCATCAGTACATGACTGGGGGAGCTGGTGAGGGTGAGCAGCGCCTTCAGCCAGCCGGGGAACTGCCCAACCGCCACATGGTGAAGACCGACGCGGTACTGCCGGCCTACTGCAATCCACCCAACCCTTGCCCAGTTGGGTATACCGGTGAGAAATGTTTATCATTTTCCATAAAAGTATAAGAAAAACAATTGAGTAGAAATAGAAAAACCATTTTCTTTTCAGTTTAAACGGAACCTTTTTTGGAGTTCCGTATCTCAAAAGGAAAAAACGGAACCCTTAACAGACAGACAAACAGAATTGATCCTACACTTTGTTGTCCGCCTCTTTCTATCATTATTTGACTAAAAGCTGACAACTATAGAACGATGTGCTACACAGGTTGGTGTGAGTCACTCTAAATGTTTTAAATAAGTACTGAGTTTACCTACCGCCTCTTCCTTTCTTCATAACCTTACAACCCGGGATCCTTTAAAAGAGGCGTAAAGAAGCAACATGCAGGCCGGCAGGGTGAGGATGGCTGGTGTGGCAGGTAGAACTGCTGTATCAGCTATCTTCGCGTCTGGACTTCACCTTCACTTAACATCAGGTGGGGTGAAGTCATTTGTCGGACCTATCTATAAAAAAAAAAAACTTACACTCAATCACGCAACGTTTTCATTACGTTCCGTTTCATTCCTCTCATTCAGATATTTTATGCAGTGTTTCCACTTAAGCTCAGGCTCTCTAAATGGAATTCTCATGGCAAATGTTCAGTCAAGCAAGATTGAGCAAGGAGCATTCTTTCACTGAGTCCAGTCAAATGTTGTTGAACGAACTCATTCGCTCGCTCCGGTGTTTTCATTGACCGAACGAGCTAATGTTTGCTCTCTTAGCATTGTTCTCAAGACTAAGTAAAAACGCTGCGTAGATGAGAGGGAGGAGGTCGATGGCGTTGAAGTTAAGCAAATCTCGCAGTCGGTCGGTTCGGTTCGGTCGGTCATTGGATAGGGGACCAAAAATTTACTATCGCGAGCTCCTCCGTGTGTCGGAAGCCGCGTTTAGCCATTGGTTCCGGTTGCATCTGCAGTCGTTAGCACCGACCAATGCATACTGAGCCCACGTGGTGGGTCAGGGCCCAGTCTTCATACTCCATCCGAACTTTGGTTACGAACTTTTTTTTATCGAATATAGTATTTTCGAAGCTGTTATCTCTAAACATATTTTAGATGGCAAAAAATTTAAAAAATATAGTATATGGTTAAAATATTTACTTTATTTTTGAAGTGAGTATATTTTTGTTGCTAATAATTCCGTTTATATTTTTAAGAAAGCTTTTACTTTCAAAAGTCTGCTTTAAGAAAAATATAGTAGTTTTGCCTATGAAATAGGCGAAAAATATAAAATAAAAATAATAAAAATGTATAGTAATACATTTTTTTAAAAAAATAGTATTTGATCCCCTAATATAGCAGGATACTAAATTACATAGTAGGGTTGGCAACCCTACCTGAGCCCCTAAAGTGCGGCCATTAAAAGGCTGATGATAATGGTGATAATGTATGTACAGAGGAGCAGGGCTGCATCAAGGAGTTCGAGAATACAGCAGCATTCAGCCGCGAGTACCAGCTGTCGCAGCGCTGCATGTGCGACAACGAGCACATGTTCAGCTGCCCGCCCGAGGAGCCGTCGGAGCTCGACGTGCGCTTTCCCGAACACCACAAGAACCTTGTTGCCAAGAAATATAAGCCGGACGTGAGTCTTATAAACTCATTTAATATAAGTACGAGATACAGTGTAGGACCATAGTAGGACCATATCCAGGATTTTGAGAAGAGTACCCTTAGCACGAACCAATATCGAATTCGAATCGAATGTGTACTGATTTATAGATTTATAGTTACGTAGGTACTTTATGGCGCTGCTGTTAAAGTTTTCATAAAAAATTTGACATTGACATTTCGCACTCGCAAACTATTTGGATTCGATAATGGTTCGTGCTAGGGCTACAGGGCCGTTTTCAGCCACGAGCAGCAGCTGTCTCAACATTTCAAAGAATACTATCGCTGAATTCAAAGTGAAACTATCTTTTTTCAATTTGGATGCGTCAACTCTTTTGAATTATCTCGGTTAACAGAACTGATCAACATAACTAATGCAATTAAAGGTAAATGCATTCCCCAACCACCCGTTGAATACATTTACTTTGCTGTGGGATAAAAAACGGATGAATAATACCCACCGACAATGAACGATTGAATAAAAAAATGCGTTTTGAAAGCATTTGAATGGAATAAGATGAGATTTTGCTTTTAAGGACTTTTAACTCGTTTAAATGGTCTCCCGTTGATCGCAATTCCGAGCTTATACTTACTTAAATACAAAAAGTGAGCTCACGAATCATTATAAATTATTTTACGTTTTTAAATGCTGTTTTTTCCCTAAATGTTTCAAACCGTTTAAATAGTTTATTCTGGATCCCAGTTTCGAACTATAGATACACAAAAACTAATCTCCCAATTATATAACAACGCCTACATTCGTTAAGTCTAGACAGTGGTGCCCAAATATAAATTCAATCTAATTGAATGACTCGATGAAATTGAAATTTTTCATGCTGAATAATGTACAGTTGAACTTTATACCAGATTAACCTGTCTGGGTGTCTGCGACTTCGTCTGCTTAAAATACAGTAGACCCGCGGTAATCCTACAAACGTTTTGCAGGGCGATGTCGTATTATCGAATTTGTCGGATTATAGAGTACTGTCTAAGACCACCCTCTATAGTCCGGAATTTTTGGAATAAGAGTACCTTGTATCATCTTCTTCTCAGCTCTCGCTGCGATCCTCTTCTAACCTTCTGCTTGAAATTCCCTGTCACTCTTCTGACTTCTTTTCTTATTCCTTTTCTGTGCACGCTGCTCGGCTGTGGAATTCTCGCCCTGAAGGAATCGGAAAGGCTCGTTCACTTAATTCCTTTAGAGATCAAGTTAAAAGCTATTTCCTTTCCGTTTCTTAAATATTTATGTAAGGATTATCTCCTGTATTTACTTTTGCACCCCTCTATATTTATCAATATTATTATTCCTCTTCCTCCAAGGGTTGCCTGGAAGAGATTGCTGTTTAGCAATAAGGCCGCCTATTATACTCTTTCTTCTGTTTTATTGGGTAAGGGATTCTAAATACACCTGCAAGAACCCAAGCCAACCTCACCTTCACGTGGTGCACCCTGTTGACCAACAGACGAGGCTCTGGCAAACCGACCGATGGCGGTAGGGGACGACGTCCAATGACGTAGGGGAGGAAAATGTCACTGGTGACGGGCAGCAGCGTCATCAGTAAATAAACCTACGCTCTGCGATCGCCAACCCGCCTGCCCAGCGTGGCGATTATGGGCAAAACCTTCATGCACAAGAAACTCAAGCCCCCAGTTCCCGGCAGCCCCGCTATTCCTGGTCACGGTGGCGACCACGGTAACGGTGGGGCAGGGGGTGCCAAGAATCTCCGGGCTACGGGAGGCCACCACAAAAGACTGACCCTGGCGACGTACAACGGACGCACGCTACGGCTTGACTCGCATCTGGCGCAACTCGAGGTGGAACTGGACGGTGGAAAGATTAGGTGGCACATTTTAGGGTTAAGTGAAGTCTGAAGAGAGGGGGAGGACATCATAACCCTCGAATCGGGCCACCTAATGTACTTCCGCGGGGGAGACCAACAGTCCCAAGGTGGCGTTGGGTTTTTGGTAAATAAGTCCCTTGCCGATAACGTTGTGGAAATGTCCAGCGTGTCGAACAGGGTAGTGTACCTTATTATAAAGCTCACCGAGAGGTATAGCCTCAAGGTGGTGCAAGTGTACGCACCGACCTCGACACACTCGGACGACGAAGTGGAGGATATGTTCGATGATATATCGAGGGCCCTCCACTCCACTACTAAGACCCACTACAACGTTGTTATGGGGGACTTCGACGCTAAAGTGGGAGTACAGAATTGCAGCGAATCGGTAGTAGGATCAAATGGATTTGGAAGCAGAAATCATAGGGAGCAAATGCTCGTCAACTTCCTCGAACAGCAGGGGCTCTTCTTGATGAACTCTTTTTTCAAGAAACAGCCCCAAAGGAAGTGGACATGGCAGAGCCCCGACACTATGACTAAAAATGAGATCGATTTCATCATGACGGATAAGAGGTACATATTCAGAGACGTCTCCGTGATCAACAGGTTCAATACCGGTAGTGATCACCGACTCGTCCGGGGCTCTCTGAATATCAACTTTAAGGCCGAGCGCGTCCGTTTAATGAAATCCAGGCTCCAACCTAGTTTGCTCCAATCTATAACAGGATCTGAAACGTTCCAGTCAAATCTGGAGAACCGATTTGCTGCCGTGGAAACCACATCAGACGTAAACCAAAACCTCAAAAATGTGGTTCGGATTCTCAGGGAAGAGGGTACGAAACTATGTGCAACGCAGCGTAAGGGCAGGAAGTCAAAGCTTTCGGAAGAGACTTTAGGGCTAATGAAGGAACGACGTGAAAACCCACCCGTCACTTCGTGGGCAAAGCGGACTCTAAACCAAGAGATCAGTAAGCACGTACGACACGACCTCCGATGCTCCAATACTCTCTCGATCGAGAGAGCGATCGAGCAGAATCGAGAGTCCAAAGTGTTCGTACAATCTCTTGGAAGAAGCCATCTGACGAAGTTGACCACAGCAAGTGGGGAAGTTGTTGCTTCAAAGCCGGCAGTCATTTCGGAAGTGGAAGACTTCTACAGCCAGTTATACTCATCACATGCATCTCGACCTGATCCCGGAAATGAGGATTCTAGAGCCACATTAACACGCCACTTCACCGAAGACCTGCCAGAAGTCAGTATTGGCGAAATCGAGATTGCTCTTGGACATCTTAAAAATGGAAAAGCCCCTGGAGAGGATGGTGTTACAACAGAACTCTTGAAGGCTGGAGGTAAACCCGTACTGAGGGAGCTCCAAAAGCTTTTCAACACTGTCCTGTTCGAAGGGAGAACTCCGGAGGTGTGGAGTAACAGTGTGGTCGTCTTGTTCTTTAAAAAGAGGGATAAGACCCTACTTAAGAACTATAGACCCATATCCCTTCTAAGCCACGTCTATAAGCTGTTCTCAAGAGTGATCGCGAACCGTCTTGCGCGAAGATTTGATGACTTCCAACCACCGGAACAGGCTGGGTTTCGGAGCGGATACGGCACCATAGACCACATCCACACAGTGCGGCAGATTATACAGAAGACTGAGGAGTACAATCAGCCCCTGTGCCTAGCATTTGTGGACTATGAGAAGGCCTTTGACTCGATTGAAATCTGGTCTGTCCTGGAGTCCCTGCAGCGTTGCCAAGTCGACTGGCGATACATCCAAGTGATAAGATGTCTCTACGAAGCCGCCACCATGTCTGTCCAAGTACAGAATCAGCAAACAAGTCCCATACCGTTGCATCGTGGAGTGAGACAAGGGGACGTTATTTCCCCGAAATTGTTCACTAATGCAATGGAGGATATGTTCAAGACGCTGAACTGGAAACGACATGGCATCAACATAAATGGCGAACGCATCTCTCACTTGCGATTTGCAGACGACATCGTCATCATGGCAGAAACCCTGCAGGACCTACAACAGATGCTTAATGACCTGGCTGACTCTTCTATACGCATCGGCCTACGGATGAACTTGGATAAAACCAAGGTCATGTTCAATGAACATGTTCTACCGGAACCGATTGCAATACACGGTGCCGTTCTCGAAGTTGTTCAAAAATATGTATACCTCGGGCAGACATTGCAGTTAGGTAGAAACAACTTTGAGGACGAGGTGAGTTCAGCTAGGTTGGGCAGCGTTTGGGAAGCTACGTCAAGTCCTGACATCGTCGATCCCACAGTGCCTAAAGACGAAAGTCTTCAATCAGTGCGTCCTACCTGTGATGACATATGGAGCCGAGACGTGGACACTGACGGCACGGCTGATCCACAGGCTCAAAGTCGCTCAACGCGCTATGGAAAGGGCTATGCTCGGCGTTTCTCTGAAAGATCGCATCAGAAATGAGGTAATCCGACAGAGAACCAGAGTTATCGACATAGCCCACCGGATTAGCAAGTTGAAGTGGCAGTGGGCTGGCCATATTTGCCTAAGAACCGATAACCGTTGGGGTAGACGAGTTCTGGAGTGGAGACCGCGTCTAGGCAAACGTAGTGTAGGACGTCCTCAGGCACGATGGAGTGACGATTTGCGCAAGGTGGCTGGCAGGAGCTGGATGCGAGTAGCCCAAGATCGATCTGAGTGGCGTGCATTTGGAGAGGCCTATGTCCAGCAGTGGACTATGATAGGCTGTTGATGATGATGATCTGTTTTATTTGTTTATGTCTTGTGTCCTTTGTTGTGTGCAATAAAGAATATTTATTTATTTATTTTGTAATCCGACAAATCACAAATCTTTTCAATTGATTTTATGTGCAATACAATAGTGATAAGCGTGTCGGATTACAGGGGGCGCCGGATTAGACGGGGTCCGGATTACCGCGGGTCTACTGTAATTGGTTTCCCATATCCTTATCCCGCATCTCTCTCTAAATTTTAGTTTTATGACAAAATTTAACTATTATCTTTCTCCAAAGTTCCCTTTCTCTTCATACCGAAGTTCATTCAAATCAGTTCAGCTGTTTACATAGCGAATATTGCGACTGCTTAGGGTCCATATTCTGTGAAACTACTGTAACAAAAACATAATTTAAGTCGGTACGTATCATTCTTATGATAGCAAATACACTAAAATTATAAGATCAGAACTTTTGTTCTTAATAAAGATGCATTCTCCTTTAGTTGTAAATAATTTATTATGAGTTCGAGAAAATACTACTAAAAATAAGTTTTTTTTTTCTATTGCAGGTGGAAAATCCGTATTTGACGGGGGAACGGCTCCCTATTGCGGCCAAAAAAGGTTTTAATGTTAATGTTTATTAAAAAAAACTATATTAACTAATTAACTTTAATACAATTATTGTCTATTTTACGAATCCCCCTAAGTACAGTAAGGGATGCGTTCAAATATTATTTATGAGAGATTTATGCGAAAAATGATTCGAATTATAGACATCAAATGTCAATTTTTTTATCGGTTTACAAAAAAAAATAATAAAGGAACCATTGAGACAAGAATCTTACAACTCCTTACTATACTTACGGTTGATAGGTACCTGTTGTGTAATATTATGGTAATGGAACCTCACAAACCCGATGCCTTTAAAAGAGAAATGGCTTGGGAGTTCTTGTAAAAGAAAAAAATGGATGCGTGTAACTTAGGTACGCGCGTGAGAAGTTATACTTCTTTAGCATCATTAAAAATATTTTTTAATTGCATGCAAATAATTAATAATTACAATAAAATAATAAAAGGACTGGAAAAGGATAGTTAACACAGTCAATTAAGTTCAGTTTTAATTTGAAAAATTAAATAAATATTCAATTAAAATCACTACTGAATTTAAGTTATTAGTCCATATGTAATTAGCACTTGTAAGTAACTAAAACACGTTGTGTCTATATAGAAACTAGAAACATGTGAATAAATATTATAAATATGAAAACAGTGATCAGAGGCGACGAGCGTGCCAACATTGTTTTTGACAACGCGATCATCTTATGGAGCTCCGTGGATCGTTCAAAGTACCTTTCGAACAGATGTCTAATTAGACACTAACATTCATAACGCGCCCGCGGCCAACTTCATGGTGTTACTTTTCTGTTAGTGTTGCGCGCGCATCTTAAAATTTCACTCTCATCATTTTTTCATAACGCGCCCGCGGCTAACTTCATTATGTTACTTTTGTGTTACAGTGATGCGCGCGCATCTTAAAATTTCACTCTCATAATTTTTTCATAACGCGGCTAAAGAAGTATAACTTCAATTAGTCGAAAACATTACATACAACTCGTTGTACTCACACCAGGAAGTTATCGAATGCCAGGCATAGGTCGAACGCTTATACATATTTTTTGTGATGAGATAACTTTTAGAATAAATATAATCTTTGATGTAAATAAAGTGTTTATACTGTTCAGGTGCAAAGCACTCAAAATCAACCACCATTAGGGTGGTTAGTTTCGTAAATAAACATTTGGAAGGGTATATTTCACTTTTACATTATGATAAATGTGTATTTAATCTTTTAGATTCGTATGTTTAACAAGTTCGATCTATACTTTCGGAATAGTCTTGCTGCGTTGAATTTTGTATTGTGCTTAAGTATACAAAGCGTTAACGTATTTAAGGATATCAAATAATAAGCCAAAGATTATTTTTAGTAGAAAATCTACTCATTTAGGTTACCTTTGAAAAATAATCAAAGGCAGGTTATAAATAAAATATGTCTTTTCCCAGTAATAAGTTAACCTACCTTGTCTATAAAGAATAAATCCAAGTCAGCGGGGACGGTGATTTTTCAATACATACCAACGTAATTTTATCGACAATTTCAATTTCTTATCATCCGAAGAACTCGTGTATAAAATAAGTACCTATGTATTTCACTTATGTATATTTTTTTATTACTATTTACTTTATCGACAAAACATAGATACTATATATATTTTATTGTAAAAATGCGCCGAAATAATTGAAAAATGGCTGTCTTGAAACTGTCTCAAATAACAAAAGAAACAGTATCTACTCATGATCTTGGGGTACACTGCATTACAATTTAAGCAGTTAATTTAATTAACCATACACAGGAAATCGTTAGAAATAATCCTAGCATTTCCATTTTTTAGGAAAAAAAAACGAAAAATCTAACTTACAAATCTAATAGCACGTCAGACCACACGTGTGACTTACGTCAAAGTAGCAAGATGCCATCAAAGTAGCAAATCAAATCAAATCATACAGCAATATGTTATAGCACAAAGTTGATATTCATTGTTCCTACCAAAAATTACCAAAAGAACGAACTGGCGTTATAAATGGGCAAAATTATGGCACTGGTAAATGATCACTTCAGAGTAAGATTAAGATAGTAAATAAAAATATATTTGATTTTTTCATCATAATCTGCCTCATGTTTATTAAGTACCTAGTTGTTTAGACGATAATTTTAAACAGTTAATATAAAATAATAAGATTTTTATAGTAAATAATTTATAAAATAACTTATGTTGATAGTAATTTTAAACAAAGCACTATAATATTATTTGTGAAAGAACGTTCAACATGCAAATAATAGTTACGCGACTCAGCAAGAGTAAGATAAAGTGTATAAAAATAATAAAAGTATGTTTATTTTGCTGTCGTACTTAATCTCATAAAAAAGAAAATAACAAAAATGAATCATTCTCCATCGAATCGCATTTATGTTAAGTGTTCGTCCGTTCATTTTTTAATATTTTTTTCTATGGAACTTAAGTCGAAGCTGTGAATTTTGTTAGTTGTACATACAATTTGTTAGTACGTGTTAAGGTCATAAGTGAATTAGCTACTTTTAGTTGGTAATGTATGTATATTTAAAAATGCTTGATGAAACATTATTATTTAAATGTATACATATATACCTATATTGATTTCATAATTGTCTACAATTTGTTAACTGTTATGATACTTAATTCTATGCGTAAACGTTATAAAACTGATATTAAACTTCAACTACTGTGTTGGAAATGTTTCTATATAAAGTTCTTAAAGAAAGATGAAATTATTGTAAAATATGCTACTTCTTTCGTGTCACTACCCGCTTTATAAAATTGACACCCAGCAAATATGAATACTAAAGATCTCTTTACAATCACCGAAAAGTTTTCTCATAAATCAAGCGAAGTAATTCATAAATTATGAACGGCCACGGCGTTTATGGGGTTATAGTGAGTTAAAATCAATCAGCCACACGAAAGGAAGTAGCCATAGCGACGTAAGACATTCAAATCATTGTCTTATTTTGCGATGGGGAATATGCACGCGAACACAGTTTGATGAAACAAAACTGTAACAATGACACAATATATCGCCAAATTCTGCACACATGTATCGTTTGTATGCCCAACTCAACAGAGGGGAAATCTATGTATGGCTACTCCCCTCCTGGCCGCGTCCGCCGAGATGCTCTATAAATCAAACAAATCACGAGGGATCCGTTTAAAAGCTTTTAATTTAACCGATTTGCTGCAAATTTGGTCAATGCTGCGGGTACGCTTACATAAAACCGCTTCACTAATTCCTTGGTAGTTTTAAACAGATATATTTCCACTATTATCTTCAATTAATATTAATTATTTACCTAGTGGTTGGTCTTCGTCATAGTTTATTCTTCAAGTAGAACTCCTCAACGAAATCAGTAAAATGAGCATTGTATATTCGTCAGTCGTATCCTCTCGCAGCACAGGATTTTTTATTTTTATTTAAAATAAAAATAAAAAAAAAACACAGGATTGACAAAACTAGCAGCTTCTTCTTTTGCGTAAGTCGGAAGTCGTATTCAATAATTACTCTGATTTCTATGTATCCCATGTCGACTATAAAAATGGATCCAAAATCCCTGGACCTTGACCATTAAAATCAAACGAATAAAATGCGTGTAGTTTTCGTGTGAAAAAGTTCGATTCCAAATTGAGACACCATGTAAGTTTAATTTACAATGTACAAAGATCAAAATTCTTATTATTTTATACTTATTGGACTAAAAAATGGTTCTTTGGTATTATTGATCGATTCTTATGGTTTACAAATTTAAAAATTTTCTATTAGAACGTTCATCAGGATGACGTACACGGCGTATACAGCGATATATACTAACATTTCATTGCATTTACAAGAATATTATCATTCCAACGTTTTGTAAAATTCTGTTGTAACCAAAATGTTGGTAATAAATACATTTTCCTCATTAAAAAGTGGCAATAAACGGCTGCATAAAGTTTTACGGCTCCATAAAGCTACTAGAGCGGTTAATTTAAGATATAAAATTAGTTTACCAACTTAAATGAACATAATATTTAATCTCTTACATGTAAAAAAGATATACATGACATATAAACGTACAGCTATGTTAGCACTAGCCTAGTCTATATAATACTAGACGTCTATCTTTGTATATAAATGGAAAAATTCATACAACTTATACACACATTATTGTACATAAATTACTAAACAATCAATAAATAATTATATATACATAAGGCTTAGCTTATCATGGCACTACATATTAAAAATTGTGCAGTGAATATAATAAATAATATATAAATATTTCCAACACCCACGCCAATTAGCCAGCATTATGTAAGTATATTTATATAGAAATACATATTAAAGATCCATGACTGGAGTACAAATGCTCGTATTCATCACACAAACATCGGCCCCCTACGGCCCCCTCTCGAGTCGGCGACACCATGAAACCCGGCGTACAAACCTCTCGGCCACGGAGTGGATGAAAATCTTTGACCTTTACTTCGTGTTAACAAGAAAAAAACGGACATGTGCTGTTCACACGCGACAGAAGTGCAACTTACAAAACTGTGAACATGTGAAAGTCCTTCATGACTAGGTAAAATTAAATATACTAAACTTAAATTGTCCCGAAAAATAAACAATAGCTTAATAAAAAAGAAAATGCTATGAAAGAAAAAAAGCCATTGAAAAAATAACCGAGCTCAGGATTGAACCACCAATCATTTGGCGACGACCCCAAGACCGTTACCATTTGCCTATTTCTCTGGCGGAGAGTTACAAAATTGCGGATACCTTGTGTCAAATACTGTAGCTTTTTCCTTTCATCGAGTTTGAAAATCACAAGGTGCTAAAGAAGTTTTCACTTTAAAAAATATGTATTATAAACAAGCGAAGACGAGCATGTCTTAGAACTAAACCATAATTTAGATAATGAGCAGGACTATGAAGGGAGCATGGAAGAACGCGAAATCATTGAACGCAGGATTTTTATCCATAATTGAACACAGGATCACTGACAGCAACATAGCGTAATAGATTGTGTTTGGTAATTTTTCATGCGGTGATGACAGCTTAGTCAAGTTTCGGGAGACTATTATTAAAATATACTCGTATATATCGATAAAAACACCGTGGACTTTTTGACAACCTCTCAGAGCCTAGTCCCGGGTTCGATTCCCGGTGGGGCAAATGTATAAACATTGCACATATTCATCACATAAGTGATGAATATGAGCATTAAAATTTGTACCTAATTAGTTAAATGTATTTCTAATTAAAAATATACTAATATATGTATCAATATAAGTATTTTATCCGCTACCCTTGTATCCCATAACACAAGCCTTACAGTGCTTACTTTGGGGCTCAGGTAATTGGTGTTGCTGTTAGAAATATTTATTTATTTTTCTATGGGCATACGATTCATCTGCACAATGTAACCGCACAGTTATGCGGGTGTAATTACATTTATTAAATATAAGTAGTTGTCTATCTAATTAATCTATATTATTCTTATCAGTAGCAATATATTGAGTATATGTCTATTAAAATGTGTCTGTATTTCATAAACATTGAAGGAATAATTATATAATAAATATTTGTAACTATTATTTAAAGAATTTAAGAGTGTAGGCAATTTAAGTATTATAAACTGATATGCATATAATAATATAAATAATACGGAATAACACTACCAATAAACCATAATTTCTGGAAGCAGAATGAATATATTTTTATTTAAATCACATTGATTGTGTTGAATTCGCAATCATAATACTATATTCATACATGAAACTAGTTGAGAAGGATTTTTTTTTTAATATCAAAGTATGTTAACAATATTTTCGATGAGACTATTAAAAATTACCTACCTTTATTTTTTATGCGTGAAATTAGTACATAGCTCCTGTATACTAATTTATAATTATTTTTATTTATTACATATATTATTTCTATATTATTATGTATAGTAATTCATTATTGTAGCAGTATTCTTATGTTGGGTACAACTACCTATTTATAATTGCTTAATTTATAGAAAACTATTTTTGTGGATATATATATTTATTTTTCCTCATAATCTGTGAAACAACTGAAATCATTTTGCGCTAACTTTTATTATTAACGAAAATTTATAAAATACCTATATATCTTAGTTGTAAACATATAGGTATTATGTAGTTTAAACTTAAGATTCGTATGTATATATATATAACCGGAAAGTCATCTTGATATGAGACCACTAATATTGTATGTAGTTGTATGAGGCCATTCCAATGAAATGGAAATCAGTGCCAGAGTGCGGTTCAGGCCGTCTCAATAAGACTTAATGCTCAGGTTCCATTCACAATGAAAGTGCGGGTATATAAGTGGATAACGATTAATCGATCTAAATCTTTATGTGTCATTATATATGCCTTCTTAAATATAAATATATATATATATATACATAATAGGTTGGGGAAAAGTTTCTTCGCATTATAGTACCTATATATGAACTTGTAATTAAATCTCTTTGGCTATACCATTTGTATCTGGCTGGTTTTGGTATCATTAA